TATAGCTGACTTAAGGGGACTCCACTCTAGTGAACGATGATATAAAAATATTCACATTAGCCTGGCAGGAACTTCTGCTTTCCTCATCATTGCTCCTAGCACCTTCTTAAGATTCTGTGCCTAAAATACTCACAGAAAGCAGTGGTGGTGTTTGGCACTCTCCGAGGCTGCTGCAGAGTGCTCTGTGACCTGACATCACCCTTGCTCTGGGGAATATGCCCAAAAGAAGGAGAAGAGCAGGATGGAGACGCTTCCACTGCTCTAGTGGCCCACACATCCCCAAGGCTCTAGGACTCATCTCAGGCCTGGCAGCTTTTCTCACGGGCATAGAGCTTATTCTTCTGACCTCGAGACATGATGACTGTGGCTAAGGACAGCAGAAGGGAATGTGGCAGCAGGGCACGTGGTGTGGCTCCTGGAGGAGAAGGGTGAGAGACTGTGAGCCCCTTTGCCAGGCACTGCTCTTGGACCCCCCCAGGGCTCCTGTTCTTCTGGTCAGCCTGTCCTCTGAGGACCCCTGAAGAAGTTAGAATGTGCCTTGGGCTGCAGCCTGCCAGCCTTGCCTGGGGCTGCCTGGGGTGACAGCAGGGGCTGGTAGCAGGGATCCTCCCTGCTGGGTGGAGGCCTAGCAGTTTACAGTCAGCACCATCATATCAACTGTTGGCAGGGCCTGGGCCCCTCCCTCTGCTGTACTGAAGTTGACCCCTAAAACCTGGCCTCCACCTTCCTGGACTCCCTAAGAGGAGAAGGGACCTGGGGCTGACAGCTCAGTGAGGGCCTTCTCTGGCCTGGGCTCCCTGGGAGTCCCTCTACTGACATGAGTCTACCAGCCTCTGAACAAAGCCCTTACCTCCCTGCCTCCCGAGAGGGAGAACTTGGGTACACCACATGTGCCTACCCCTGCATGGAGCTCCCGGTACTGTGAACAGGGCTGGGGCTCTGGGTGGCCTCCCCTTTTGGAGCAAGGTCCCCTGGTGAGCACTTGGGTTCCTCACTTGGATTCCAGTTAGGACCCAATCTCCTCTCTTGGAAGAACTGGGACCATCTCCATAAACTAAGGCCCTCCCCTCCCTGAGACCTTTCAAGCAGAAGTCAGCCCACAGCTCTGTCCACCCTCCTAGTGCTGAGAGAGGGCGTGGGGGTGGGGGGCAGGGGACACTGGGCAGCTCCCTTGGTTATGGGCAGAGTGAGCTCTTCAGTCCACATTCAGGGTCCCCAGTCTGGAAACTTGACCCGCCCTGGAACTTCATCCTCTTTCCCGAGTCTGTGCCCCTCAGACCAATGCCCTCATTTTCTGGATTCCCCAAGGAGAAAGTCAGGGTGGGCTGTGTCCAGCCAAGGCTGTATGGCACCTCTGAGGGCTGACAGCAGGCACAGGACCGTTTGGGACCCCACTGATACACATCACAGCCTGGACTCTTCCACCTGCTGATCTGGGTCTATCAGCCTCACACTCGAGTCCTCACCTCCCTGAATGCCTAGAACATGGGCTGCAACCTAGCTGCTTACCCCTGCCTCAGGCCTCCCAAGGCCAAGAGCTGGGGTGGCACTCTGAGAAGTCCCCTGGTTTGGGGAGAGTTCCTCTCATTAGTACTCAGGGTCCTCACCTGTACACCAATTAGGGATAAAACTCCTCCCTCTGTGACACTAGGGCCACCCATTACACCAAGGCCCTCCCATCTCTGTGACACCACAGGCAAAAATGAAGGGTTTCTGGGCTAAGGGCTCTGCCTTCGGCAATCCAAGGATAAGAACATGCAGGGCCCTGTGGGAACCTCTCTACCAGTGGGAGTCCCCTCCTATCACTGAGTCCCAACCTCGTTTCCTCTTAGTTCCTGGGTCTCCACCTCTGCAGAACTGGGGCCACCCCCACTAGACCAAAGCCCTTCTCTTCCTGCTACCCTGCAGGCAGAAATGAGGGGGCTCCCCGATCTCACACCTCTTCTCTAGGCTTTCCAGGGTTACTAGCTGGGGCAGGAGCAGGGGAGGTTTGTGGGGCCTCCTGTGTTCTCAGGTGGGTGTTTCCCTCACTCCTTCAGCGCACCAAGCATTGTGGTGTCAGGCCCATTCTTGGGATGCCACCTCAGCTGACCTGGGGCTGCTTCTCTCACCTTCCTGGAACTACTGAGTTGGAAGACAGGGTGAGCCAAATCCAGCTACAACTGTTCCAGACCCTCAAGAGCTGACAGCCAGGGCAGGACCTCATGGGATCCCACTGTTCTGCTTGAGTCCTTTCCTCATTCCTCATTCTAGGTCCTCCCCTTGTTGTCTGTCAGTGGCTCGCAATTCTCCCTCTACTGAGCTGAGGTCGCCCTCCTTAGACCAAGACTTTCATGTTCCAGACAACCCTGAAGGACGAGGGGATGCTCAGCCTTGCCTGGGGCCCTGTGGTCTGAGGGCAGATGCAGGTTAGTCTCTGTGAGACCACCTGTATTCTGGGGTGTTGATCTCCCCATCCTCTGACATAGGGTCCCACATCTTGGCTCATGTTCCTAGATTACAGGCTTCCTAGGACATGCTAGGTCCCCACAAACACTTGAGCAAACTTTCCTCCTGCAAACCTTGCAGATAGAATTGGTGTGGCAGGAGTGATGGGAGACCGGGAGGCTGTAGCTCAACGCAGCATGCCCAGGAAGAAGCCAGCCGATTTCTTCCTTCTCTTCACCAACTGGACTTCACCTCGTATGTAACTTTGGTTCTAATACGTCGGCTTTCTCTAAGGCAGGGATGGAGCTGCATGGTTTGGTGAACCCCTATCTTTCGGGGTGATCTGACACTACATATGCAGATGATCATATGGTCCCCAACTATTTTCTTTTTCTTTATTCACACCACTTGTTTATTTTGATATTTTATTGCTCTAGCTATGTATTCCAAACCAATAGTTTGTGCACAGAGCCCTCTTTTTGTCACCTGAGATAGATCTCGGAGTTGTGAAAGGAAGTGTGAATTATGATGCAGTATCTGCCCCTGGCTGAGAGGTGCAGGGTAGTGTGGGCTCTAGATAAATGCAGACCATGGGCTCAGCACTGGCCCTGCAATTTACCAGCAGTGTGAGCTCACGCACATTAGCAAACTCTTCCGAGCCTCAGGTTCTTTATCTGTGGAGCAGGTTTGGTAAGCCCTGTCTTCCAAGACCGATGGATGCATGGAATATGTGTTGCAAATCCAGTACAGAGCCTGACAAGTATTGAGATATTTTTGAATAGCAATTATTGCCATGATTATTTTGACCCAGATGATACCACATACCACACTGGGATTTTTTTTCTTTTTTTCATTTGAGAAGGAGGTCAGAGAATATGCAGTGTTCTAGGAGAACAAAACAAAACACTCAAATCAGCCAAAATGCTGCTTACAAAATAAAACGAAACAGTATTTCCCCATTAGATGATAAGTCATTTGATGTGGGTGTCTGGTAGACTTCCCAGTTGGATACACCATGAAGCTACTACAGGTGTGCAAAGGGCAATGAATTGCCTCCTTCTCAGCTGCCCTTGCATGGAACCCATCTCCGTTTTTACTCATTTCACCACCACCAAAAATCTAGACATCATCTAGAGTTTGCCATATTACACAGAAGAATGCCCAATTTAGGTTTCCTTTTAATGGAGCGGTCAATCCCCCGAGCCGCCCCAGGCCAAGGCAAAGCGGTTGCTGTCACCCTAGTCTCAGAAACTCTCTGGACACTGATTGCACAGAACACCTAGTGAGTGCACGGTGTTCACCTGCCCGGGAACAGAGCCCAGGAGTCCTTCTCCCCCTGCCACAGGTGTCTGGGGACTTCTCTCTGGTTTACCACATCCCTAAGGAATGGTTAAGAGCAGTTTTCCATCGCATAGTCTTTTCATTGTGAGACCCACCATCTGGGGCTCTGGTCCCTGGTCCTCACCATTTCAACAGCTTCAGCTAACCCTTGGTGTAGCCAAACTTAAAATTCCCTCCCACAGAGGGACTGGCAGCTTCCCAGGCTCCCCGCCTGTCTTGTCTCTGGAGATTTACCCTGGACTGCTTCTATGTAGAAGCTCCTCCCTCCTTCTGCCTTCTTTTTTTTTTTTAAAGATTTTATTTATTTATTTGAGAGAGAGAGAGAGAATGAGAGAGAGAGAGAGCACAAGACGGAAGAGGGTCAGAGGGAGAAGCAGACTCCCCACTGAGCAGGGAGCCCGATGCGGGACTCGATCCCAGGACTCCAGGATCATGACCTGAGCCGAAGGCAGTCGCCTAACCAACTGAGCCACCCAGGCGCCCTGCCTTCTGTTTACTGCCCTTCAGGATGAGGAGTGTATCTCACCACGTTCTTTATCTGATAGCTTCTCTTGGACTCTGAAATGTTATTGGCAGGGGCTGGGTCTTCTTTGTGTACACATCCTAGAACTAGCATGAAGCCTTCCAAAGAGCAGATGCTCGATTCATGTTTGGTGAACAAAAGAGACGGTGAACAAGAGTTCTAATTCATGACCATTTATTTTCTCCCACATTCTTGAAAAGCTAAGCAAATCCAGGTATATATCTTTTAATTCTACCCAAAGAAAGAGCAAAATAAATAAGAAAAACCAAGGAAAGTAAAAACTTTTTACTTTTTTTTTTTTTCCACTATCTTGTTATCTCAACATTTTCACAGTGCAGTTCTCTTACATTTTAATGAAAATCCCTATTCCAGGGCTATGTTTTTCTTGTACTGGCTCACAATAAAAGATGCAAGGATTTTCAGTTTGTCTTACAAAATACAAAACCATTACTCTCAAATTTGATAACTAGCAATAAGTATGTGAGCCATGTTATTCATAAGCTTAGATTCTGAATTTCAGTAAACCTTCTTAAAAAGAACACATTGGAAAGATAAGAAAAAAAGAGGTAAATCTGTATGTTATTTATGAGTAACAAGAACACAAAGAAGAGAGATATTCTGCTCTCTCCAGCCCCACCTGACTCCACATTACTTTAGGAGGTTGACAGCCCTTTCCAAAGGCAAGGTGAAGACCCCGTCTTCGACTTCACTAGGGCTGAGGGGGGCTGCTGGACGTGGCCTTGGAGCAGGCACTGGCCGGGGCACTAGTGGCAGCCTGGTTTGCAACTCTGGCCTGGGCTCGCTCTACCTCATCCCTCAAAGCCTCTTCATACCGGCCCTGGAAGGCACTGGGGACAGTATTGCTGACTTTGGCCAAAAACTCCAGGACTTTCATCTTGCTGATTTCAGCGTGGGCTCTTGGGCCCCACAGGAACTCGTAGCGAGGAGGATCACTGTCAGCCACCTGGCGGTACTCCAGGTACTTTTCCTGCACCAAATCTTTGGTGATGAGCTTCCTGGGCTCCCCAAAAATGAGATGCCTCCTCCCAGCATAGACCCCCAATGCATTCAGGAATTCCCACATCTCCTCCTCAGTGGCCCGGTTGCCATTCATGAAGATCACACCCAGGAGAGGCATCAGGAGCCCGTTCTTGGGGAAGTCCATGCCGTCACTCAGATGCCCTTCGGTGGGAAGGCCCACTTTGCTAACAAAGGCATAAGAGTGACTGCTGGGGTCAACTTCCTTCAGCTCAAGGCCAAAGACCAGCTCCAAGTGGTCAGTGGTTCTCCTGAGGATCTCAGGGAATTGCTCCTTGTACTTTTTGTTGATAACTTTCAGCATTTCTGCCTCTGTAATGGGCTCCTTCATTTTATACTTGTACAGCAGAAAATGCACCAACGTGCCCGCCTTCCTGATCAGAGGATCTGTGTGAGAGCTCTCAGGGGAAGGCGGGGCCTGGCAGGGACTTGGGCTTTCCTCCCCTTGGCTCTTGGCACCTTCATCAGAACTTGAGCCTGAAATGGTTGCATCAGGACTGCTGGTGGATCGGGCCCTCTGAGACTTTTGGGGAGGGCCTGTTGCAGGGGAGCTCAGGGGCGCACCCTCACAGACAGGCAAGGGGGAAGAGGGGACCTCTTCTTCCACTGCTGCAGTGGCCTGAGCTGCCCCAAGACCCTGGCTCTCACCTCGGGCCCGTCGGCGTCTCTCCCGGGCACGGAGCTTACTCTTCCGACCATGAGGCATGACAGTGGTTAGGGACAGCAGGCACGAGTGTGACAGGAGGGCACCTGACGCGGGCCCCTGGAGGAGGAGGATAAAAGGGTGTGAGTCCCTTCAGCAGAGAGATGTCACTGTGGCTTTAAAAATGCCCCGTGTAGGTGTCCTCGAGGGCACCGCTGTAGGACCCCATAGGGCTTCTGTTCTCTCGGTCAGTCTGTCTCCTGAGGCCCTGGTGGAGGAAGTCAGAGCGTGCCTTAGGCTGCAGCCTGCCAGCCCTGGCTGGGACCAGGACCCTCGCTCCTCTCTTCTCCTCTGATCCTGCTCCCCTGCCCCCTAAGAAATGAGTCCTCTCACCCAAACAGCTCTGCCCGTGGCTTTCCAGGCTGACACCACAGGGAAGACTTTCCGTGGCCTCCTCTGTTCTGGAGTGGTTTCTCTCATTGCTCCCACAGGATTTTTACCTTCACTCCCCACAGGGCCTGGGACTCCTCTCTCTGCTAAACTGGGGCAACCAGTCCTTAAACCAAGGCCCTCATTTACTGAAACCCTGCAAATTGAAGTCAGGGGGCACCTGACTCTGTCAGTTCTGCCCTGGGCCTCCCAGGGGTGAGGCTTGGTGCAACCCTCTCCACTGGGGGGTTGACTGGTCCCCATTTCCTCCCTCAGTATCCTCACCTTGACACCTGACCAGTCCTGGGACTCTCCCTGCAGGGGACCTGAGCCCATGCCTTTTACACCAAGGTCTTTACTTAAATGGGACCTCAGAGTTGGAAGTTCAGAGTGAGCCACATCCTGCCAAGGCTGCTTGGGGCCTACAAAAGCTGAGAACAGGGTGGGGATTCTATGGGATCCCACAGCTCTCCATTGGGTCATTAGCTCAGTCCTCACCCAGAGTTCTGACCTTGGCTCAGTGTCAGACTTCTGACTCCTCATTCTACTGAACTGAGTCGACCAGGCTCAGATCAAGGTCTTCCCTTCCCTGAGTCACTGGAGGGGAAGCTGGGTCACACCACATCTGGATCCACCTGCCTCAAGCCTCCTGGAGCTGAGAGCATGGGTAGTGTTCTGGTCTGCCCCCTCTTTTCGGGGGAGGTCCTCTCATTAGCACTCAGGGTCCTCAATCTGGAATCCTACCAGGGGGTTGGTCTCCTGCTGCTGCAGAACTGGGGCCACTTCCTTAGACGAGGCCCTTCTCTCCCTGGGACATTTCAAGCAGGTCACACCATGGCTCTGCTGGGATCTCCCAGAGCTGGGAGGCAAGGGCACTGGGTGTTTGTGTCAGTCCATCTTCAGAATCTCCACCTTCATACCAGACCAGTCCTAGAACTCCACCCTCCACTTACTAGAGTTCCTGCCCTTCAGACCAAGGTCCTCCCCTTCCGAGTTCCCCAAGGTGGAAGTCAGGGTGAGCCTCGGTATATCCGAGGCTGTATGGGGCCTCCGAGGGCTGACAGCAGGGGCAGGACTGTTTGGGACCCCACTGATACACATCAAAGCCTGGGACTCCTCCATCTGCTGATCTGGGTCTATCAGCTTCGCACTCGAGTCCTTAACGTTCCTCAGTCGCTAGACAGGAAGCGCAGACGCACTGCATCTGTCTATCCCTACCTGCGGCTCCTAGTCGCGGCTGGCCCCTCCCCCGTTTTGAGGGAAAAGTCCCCTCATTAGCACTCAGGGTCCCACCAGAACTCCAGTTAGGACCCATGATTCTTCCTGTAACAGCACTGTGGCCACCCCACTTAGACCTAGGCCCTCCCCTCCGTGGTGCGCTCCACAGACAAGCCAAATAATTGTGCCAGGGCTCCCAGTGCTGAGGCTAGGGCAGTTCTTCGTGGGGCTTCCTTGGTGCTGGGCAGAGTGGTTGCTTCAGTCCACATTCAATGCCCTTACCTTGATACCTGAGCAGTCCTGAAATTTCCCTCTCCACTAACCCGAGGTTGCGTCTGTCAGGCTAAGTTCCTCACCTTCCAGAACTTTCAAGGCGGAAGTCAGAGTAAGCCACATCCGGCCAAGGCCGCTAGGGGTCTCTGAGGGCTGTCAGCAGGGGCGGTTCTACAGCAACCCAGTGATATCAATCCGAGCTGGGGCCTCCTCCCTCTACCCGCTTGAGTCCCCCAATCTCACACCGTCCCTGAGTCCCTAGAAGGGAAAGTCGGAGTGCACCACATCTGGCTACCGTTGCTACAGACTCCTGGGCCTGTGCAGCAGGGCCGGGGCTCTGGGCACCCTCCTCTTTTGGGGACAGGTCCTCTCTTTAGTATTCAGGGTCCTCACCTGAGCTCCAGTTAGGGCCAGAACTCCTCCCTCGGCGTCACTGGCTCTGCTGCCTTTCTCCCAGGGCCTCCTAGACTGAGAGCTCCAGGCACGAATGAGGAGCTTCTGGGCTGAGCGGTCGGCCTCCTACGACGAAGAAAAGGGCGCTGGGGACGTGTGATCCTCTCTGCTGGCGGGAATTATCGCTTATCACTAGGTCCTCGCCTTAGCTCTTGGTAGTTCTTGGGTCTCCTCGCTCTGCAGGATTGTGGCCCAATCTCACTAGATTAAGGTCTTCCTCTTTCTGAGGCCCTGTAGGCAGAAATGAGGGGGCTCCTCAGCCTGACAACTCTGCCTCAACCTGGGCCTCCCAGGTTGCGGGGGGCGGGGGTGGGCGGGGATGCTCTGTGGTGTCTCCTCCGCTAGAGTGTGGGTAATTCCCACATCCTCCCTAAATTTCGCTACCTTGACACCTGGCTAATCCTGGGACTCCACTCTCAGAAAACCTGGGGCTGTCCCCCTCAGATCAAGACCCTTATCTCCTGGGACTACAGAATTAGAAGTTAGGGTTAGCCAGGTCCAGACTTCCCGTGACCTACAGCCAGGGCGGGACTCGATGGGACCCACTGTTCTGGCTGGGTCCTCCCCTTGAAGCCTATTAGAGGCTCACATTCCTCCCTTTACTGGCCTGAAGCCGCCCTCCTTAGACCAAGGGTCTCATGTTCCTGATAGTCCTGTAGGATAATTGGGGTACTTAGTTGCACCAGGCCTGCCTGGGACCCTGTGGGTCTTCAGGCAGCCATAGGCCAGTCTCTGTGGGTTGTCTACATTCTGGAATGTTGGTCTCCCCAGTCCTCCTACATAGGGATCCTCATTTCAGCTCCTGTCTCCTTGATTAAAGGCTTCCTGGGAAATGCCACATCCCTTCAAACTCTTGAGCAGTTTCCCAGCTGTAAATTTTGCAGAAAGTAGTTCCTTGCCCCAGAATTATGAGACCCGAGGAAGCTGTAGCCTAAGACGAGAGGCCTAGGACAGGTGGTGTGCTCTCACCAGCCAGACGTAGCCTCTTATGTAACTTCAGCTCTATTAACTTTCTACAGAGAAGGGGCAGAGCCTCAGATTTTTGAGCCCCTGCTCTTCAGAGGTGATGTGATATTGCATTTGTAGATGCTCATGTGATTGCCAAATATTAGCTCTTTTTTCCTTTATTCATACTCTTCATTTATTTTAATATTCTTACTGCTCTGGTAGTGTGTTCCAATCCAGCAGTTTGCACAGAGCCTTTCTTCTTACTGCCTGAGATACATTTTAGAGTAGGGAGAAGAAACGTGAATTAGGAGATACAAGGCATATTTCCTTATTAAAATGAGCCCCTATACCGTGGACTGAATGTGTCTCCCCCAAATTCATGTGCTATCATTTTAGCCCCTAGGGTGATAGTATTAGGAGGTGGGGCCTTCAGGAGGTGATTTGGTTGTGAGGGTGGAGTCCTCGTGAATGCGATCAGTGCTCTCGTGAAAGCACCCTGAGAAAGATCTCTTAGCCCTTCCACTGTCTGAGACAAGCAAGAAGGAGCCACCTCTGAACTAGGACGTGGGCTCTCACCAAACACCAAATCTGCTGGCACCTTGACCTTGGACTTCCCAACCTTCAGAACTGGGTGAAATAGATTGTTGTTGCTTATAAGCTAAGACACCTTAAAACAAGTGTGACCAGCTACAGTGATGTACATTAAGGGGCCGTCGAAGGCTCACCTGTCTGTGGTTATAGGCCAGGGAGCCCAGGTTCCTTTCACTGATGTCTGGAGTGCGCATAGTTTTTCAGTAATGGTGAATTATGTCAGCATTAGTTGGTGATGCTAATCAGGCTGCTTTCCTACAGTTTGGGTTTGCAAATTGGACAGCTACCTCTTACAAACACTGATCTCTGTTCAGATGCTTGCACCTTACAAATCTCAAGATGCTCACCAGCCTATAGCATGGTAGAAGGGACGTGGAAAGTTAGTCCTGGCACAGGAGTGCATTTTCACGGTTGATGAGTGACTCTGTGCACTGCAAATGGAGACTGTTTGACAGCTCCGTTGGGAATGATAAGTAAGGTAAATGTTAATATTTGTCTAAAAGGCAGAATTGACAAACTTTGACTCCTTCTGCTTTACTTTGCCTTACCCATGCTCTAGGCTCGGTTGTGAGAGAATGACCACATAGACCCCCACGAAGGGAGTTTTGTGGGTTTCTGTCACTGATTCAGGCACTGTGTTAGACACTAGGGCTGGAGAGGGAGGGAGGGAGAGAGAGAGAGAATGGGAGAGAGAGACTGAACGATTCTTGCCCCTAAGGTGCTATATTAGTCTTATGCTGGGGGGTCAGCAACTACAGCTCTCAAGCCAAATCTAGCCCACCATCAGGTTTTTCAAATACAGATTTGTTAAAACACAGCCATGTTCATTCATTTACATGTTATCTATGGCTAATTTAATGCTACAACAAGAGGGTTGAGTAGTCTTGACAGACGCTGTGGATCTCACAAGGCCTAAAATATTTACTACCTGGTCCTTTACAGAGAATGTTTGTCAATCCCTGATCTAGTGGGAGAGACCAGCATTCATACAAGTAAATATAATTCAAGACAGTTTATGATAAAAGCTAGGGCCCCTGCAGAAAGGGCTGTTTGAGCACAGGAGAGCAGGAAGGCTTCACAGGGACAGGACCCTGGAGCTGAGCTTTGAGGAATGGGTTGGATTCAGGCCAGCTGAGTTGTAAGAGGACATCTCAGGTGAGATGGTCTTTAAC